CTAAAGTCTTTCCTCAACAAAAGCATTCAGTGGATCCAGGAGGCAAATACAGACCATAAGAATTGAAACCCTGGCTTTCCAAGGTGTGTTTCTCAATTGCTGCTATGTTTCCTTTCCATATTAATGCTTATATCTGTACCTGCAGAGTCCCTCTGCCCTGAGTTTCAGCAGGGTCCATCAAGGTCACTGGCACACACATGACGTGTGTGTCACAGCCGACCTATCCAGGCAGAGATTCCCAACTCGAGGAAGAACCAAAGGGCAAGCACCTTTGCTTTAAAGTGAACTCAGCAGGCATTAAGCCTAAAATCACCTAATATGACACAAAAACATGTTAAAGCTTCTCCGTGAGGGCCAGAATTGGGAAGTTTTCTCCGGTAATGATCACAGAAGTAAAACACACATGAAGAAAAATATTAATTTACTGAAAATCTGAGAATGAGGAGCCCAGGGATTACACAGGGAAGGTTTTGCAGCAACAGAACCCCCCTGCAAAGGGGTCGCAGCAGTGTTAAGTGGGGTGTTTGAAACACAAGACCTTGGAAAAGAAGAACACACAGAGCCTACTGAAAACGAGACATACAAGCGGCTGGGGCTCAGCACCTCAAAGGAATAGCGAACAAAGACTATTAGTGGATTAAAAATAACAAAAGACCAAGGGTGTTGAGTAGCATCTAAGAAATCCTGTGCTTATTGTTTAAAAAGACGCGACAGGCTCCCTAAGGCAGTTGTTTAACTCACACGTGCCGCAGCAGAAGCTCACGCAAGTCTTCGAGCATGATTCGTGCTTCTTAATTAGGTATTAATTGCGATGCAGAAGTTAATTGGCTATTAATGGCGGTGCATTCTCTGCAGTCTCCTTCCAGCCCTGCCACCCTGGCCACCATCACAGCACGCTGCCTGGGGCTGGTCCTCCTACTCTCCTTATTAACTGGGGCGCTAAAAAGTTGCTAATATTATAAATAAAATTAATCGGACTGTCAGTGAGGAGGGTGAGGGCCGGCGCGGAGCTGCAGCGGAGCCGGGGATGGGGCTGGCGGAGATCACGGCCGCCCTGCATCAATGTCACCTTGGCGGGGGGCGCAGGGGAAGCGCCACCGCCCCCGCTGCAGCCCCGGCGGTGCCCGATGCGGCAGTGCCCGGTGCGGCAGTGCCCGGTGGCCGCTGAGGCGGTGCCCGGTGCCCGCCGAGCCGGTGCCCGCTGAGGCGGTGCCCGGTGCCCGCTGAGGCGGTGCCCGGTGCCCGCCGAGCCGGTGCCCGCTGAGGCGGTGCCCGGTGCCCGCTGAGGCGGTGCCCGGTGCCCGCCGAGCCGGTGCCCGCTGAGGCGGTGCCCGGTGGCGGCGGCCCGCGCAGGCCGCGGGGTCACGGCAAGGACACGCAGGGCCACGTGGCCCCGCTCCCCGCCCCGCCGGCAGCCCGGGCGCCGAGCGCGGCGGCAGGGACGGAGACAGTGCGGCCGCTCACCTGCAGGGCCGGCGGGCCGGCGGACGGCGGCGCGGAGGCCGGAGACGGCGCAGCGGCGGAGCAGAGAGGCGCTGGCGGCCAGCATGGCGGCGGGCTGTGAGGGGGGAAACAGCACCGGGGAGCGGGGGCGCGCCGCTGGGTCCCGCAGCGCACCGGGAGGGAGGGACGGAGGTGAGGGCCGAGGGGGGCCGCTGAGGCGGGTACGGCGGCGCGGCGGGGACGGAGGGGGAGCGTGGAAGGGCGGGAGGCGGCGGGGACGGGCTGGGGGCGCGGCGGGGCGGGACCGCCGCCATCTTGGGGCGGGGCCGGCCGCCATTTTGTGCGTGAGGGGAGCGAGTCCGCCGGCCCTTCACCTCGCCGAGGAGCGCCGCGGGAGTGTTTGGGCTGCTTTTTTGAGACGATCGGGCTCGGTCTGGAGGGGTTCGGGCTGTTGCCGCCCCCATTTATCCGAGTCCGCGCAGCCCCAGTGCAGCCTCCGCGTCCCTGTCAATGGGCACCCCGCACTCGGTCCCTGTGAGGGGAATGGGCTCAGAGCGGCTCGGCCGCGCCCGCCACCTCCCAGCTCTCCGAGTGTCCCTGTCCCCACACCGTGCGCTGCTGCCCTCAGCCACCGCCGCACCGACCCGGGCACGAAATCGCCACAAAACTCATCCCTGGGGCTGTGCCTCTGCAGTGCCGCACAAAACCACAAAACCGTCGTGATTATTCCACTCACAACGTCCCCCGGCATCATCATCCTCGTTTAAATACTTTTTTTTTTTTAACAGTCCTTTTTTATTATTTTCTTCTGCAGGAAGTTATCAATCCGCAGCCAGCAAAGCAAGCAAGGAGGGTAAAATCCCCAGAGCTGCCTCTGTGATTGGAAACTACCTGTCAATGAAAGCCATTGAAGAGATCTTGCAAATGAACAAAATAAGGAGAAATAAGTGGTTTTTATTCTTGTTTCCTTGCTCGGAGAAATGTGAGGTGGCAGCAGTGAAGGTGAAGGGCTGTTAGTGTTTGACCATGTGACTCCCACAGTCTTCAGGTTCTGATCAGGGTGTTTACAGAGAGATTTATTAATTACAGGGTTTTAAATTAATTTTATTAGTAATTTTTAATGTATTTGGTGTAGGTGGCTGTACCTGGTGCTCCTGTGTGGGGTGAAGGGTTGATCATTAGATCCTTCAGATGGGGTCTGCACTGCATAAAGGAGCTGGGGGGAGCTGGATGGGATAGAGCCCAAAGCTTTACCATCCCCAAACCAACAACAACAACAAAAAAAGATCATTAACATAAAAACAAAACAGTTGGAAATTAATGTTCAAGTGAAGGGAATCAATCTGCAGTAGGACAGATAAGCACAAGCGTCTGGCCCGAGGAGCATCTGCCTGCTGAGGGAGATAACAAGGTCACTGCCTCACAAAACAGACCCTGCTTCCTCCTCTTCCTCCTCCTCTCCTTTCATTCCCACTCCCAGCCAAGCAAGCCCTTGACAAAGAGAGAACGCTGACTGTCCCTGTAGAGCAGGAGTGAGGCAGGGAGATAAGGCAGCTGCAGCCAGAGAATCCCTCACGTGGATTTTGGGAAGGGTTTGCTCCTTAATACCGATTAATTCATCCCGCAGTGCTGCTAGGCGCTGGGCAGAGGGAACCAGGTGGATCAAGGCTTGGCATCCCATAACACATCCCCCACATCTCCTCCGTCCCCCCTGGAACTGGGGCTTTGCCAGGTGCTGCTGTGCCGGCACAGGAGACCCCAGTCCCGTTCTTCCAAGGGACAGAGTCTGGCTGGGATCCCCTTGTTGAGGGCTGGCAGCAGCCTTCACTGTGCTGATCCGTGCCATGGCCAGCAGCCACGATGATCCCCCCATTTTCCCATAGACATATCTATTTCTAAAGAGCTTTTATTTTCCATTCATTTCTCTTTACCCCCTGGAAGTAGCAGGGATTTTGCTCTGAAGCACTCTGCAGCCAAGGCACAACCCCAAAACCTCCTCATCCTGTGCTGGGCACTGCATCCAGTCACAATAATCCCCTGCCCAATGCTTCCATTGCCCCCAGCTCCCCACACCGTGGCTTCCCCGAGCTCCAGACCAGAGTATCCAGTGTGGGTTGTTTTATTTCCTTTTGCTGTCCCACAGGCAGGCAGCACAGTGCAGTTCTTGGCTCTGTGGGTGCAGGGAGAGAACAACCCCTGTGCTTGTTTGGGTGATTTTTTTGGGATGAATCACAGTCTCACAGGATGCTGAGCCTGTCATTAGTAACTCCAACAGCTCCTCAGCGGCAGGTTTGATAATGAAGGTTTTATTCCAACAAGCTTGGAGCAAACCCATCTCTCCTGATGGATGAGGTGTTTGCAGTGGGGAGCGGTGTGGTGGTCCAGGCACCCCTCGGCTGCTCTGGCTCCCTGGGAGTTGCTGCAGGAGGTGGCTGGTGGTCACAGTGTCCCTGGGTGGCTGAATTAGAGGTCACCAGCTCCCCCCCACAGCCTCACCTGCTTCAATCCATGGAGGGTTTAACCGTTTAACACTCACGCCAAATCTGGGGACCCCCATCCACAGGGGTCAAAGCAGCAAGTGGGGACAGGTCAGGGGGACTCTGCAGCCCACCAGTGACCTTGGAATGAGTGGATATTCCTGCCTCGATACCTGGCTGGTAGGGTGGGAGGCACTGGGGTCAGTGGTCCTGCTGGCCAGCAGTGGTCCCCGTGCCCCTGGGGCTGTCAGACACCTGTACCTGCAGCTTCTTGGGCAGCAGCTCCTCGCAGGGAGGCGGCAGCGGCCGCTTCAGCCCCTTGGTGGAGGACCCCAGTGTGTCTTCTCCCGCCTCATGCCGGGGCTCGGGGGGCTGGTACCCCATCTGGTTGGGATCCAGGGGGTCCCGGGAGAGCAGGATGCAGATGGAGGGGACGTTCTTGTGGACAGTCAGGTTCTGTGCGGGGCCGTCGGGCGGTGGGTCCTGGTTCTCCCAGACCTCCAGCACAGTTTTGTAGCGTACCTTGGTGACCTGGTGGAGCCCTCCCAGCTTGCGCTTCATGATCTCCACGCAGGTGATGGTCTTGGTGACCGCCCTGCCGCAGCCGCTGAACACGATCTGCCGCCTGCCCTTCAGCTCCATCTGGGCCATGGCGAAGTTCATCAGGTTCCTGATCTTGCTGCCCTCCTTCACCTTCATCTCCACCACGTCCGGGGGCAGGTCTGGGAAGGGTAATGGCATCTCCTCCTCCGAGGTCCTCACCTTTCGGAAGTTCTCCATCCTGGACTGGGCAGCGGGCTTGGCTCTCCCTCCTTCGGCAGCCATCCTTCACCTCTTCCCGGTGGATCCACACAGGCTCCTAGCCCCCGGCAACCATAGCAGGGCTGACCTCGCTGCCCTCCAGCCCAGCCCTGTGTGCTGCAACCACCAGCCCTTTCTCCTCGGCTCTCCAGGGGCTGGCAGTGGGCTCGGTGGCAGTGCCAGAGGCTGTCTCCTGTGGGAGGCAGGGCTGCAGGATCCTCTGGGTGCTCCCAGTTGCTCTCAGCAGGGATAACAGCCAGCTCCAGCTCTCGGTGATGCTTGGGCTCCTCCGCTCCCGCTGCAGCACTCGCTTCTGCTGCTCTTTGCTTCATTCTGGACTTCAGCAGCCCCCAGAGCTGTTCTGTGTAATTAGCAGATCCTCCCCCTCTCCCTCCCCTTCCTCCCCTCCTCCTCCTCCTCCCCTGCTCAGCCGCCCATCCCAGCACCCTGCTCCTGCCTTCATCCCTGCCAGGCAAAGGGGAGGGCAGGGAACCCAGGTCTCTGTCCTGGAACAGAGAAGGGAAGGAGGGGAGGGTGGAAGGCAGAGGGAGAAGCTCACTCTTGCCTTCATAATGTTCCCAAAGTCCTGCCCCCTTAAAGAGAACCTGGTCCCTTCTCTCGGTGCTCGCTCCTCTCAAGGACGCCCACTGCTAACTGCAAATGTCACCCTGCCTGCCTGCCCTGCAGCATTCCCAGAGGGATGCGGAATCCCAGCCACGCTGTGTCCAGGGATGGCACAAAGATGCAGCAGGTACTTCAGGAAGTACTTCGGAGTCTGAGCTCGACCCTTGTTAGCCATGAGAGAAGCCACAGGAACCCGCAGCCAGGAGAAAGCCTGGCAGATGGCATCGCAGGCGAGCGTGCATCGAGTGTGCCAGGGCTCTGCTCCCCCCAGCACCCTGCCGCCTCAGCCCCGGCTCTGCCAGCAGGAAAACCTCTCAATTCCCAAAGCTCCGAGGAGCAGATGCCATGGCAGAGCTAGTTTTCATGGGCAATTTCTCTCCCTCTCTCCCGCTCCTCCTCCTTCCCCATCCCTCCCTCTCCCTGCAGCTCTCCCAGTCCCTGTCCCTCATTCATCCCCAATGTGGAGCTGCCCACTGCGGGCTCACCATTATATATACTGGCAACAAATCCCAGAAAATCCCTGCTGCAGGCTAGGAGATGTCCCCTTCCTGCCCCCAATCCCTTCCCAGAGCAGAGGCGATGTCCCTGCCCCAGGCTGGCCTTCTGCCCGCCCCTGTCACCTGCCTGTCCCCTCCCGCCCCGCTGGCCGGGGGATCATTGCACAGTGGAAAGACATGTGAGTATTGACTTGCAGTCAAATCTTATCGGCCTCTGGAGGCCCCTGGATTGGTTTCACTTCTAGCAGGGCTTGAAAAAAAAAACATAAATAAATAAATAAATAAATCATAAAATCGATCCATGTCTGCAAAGGTGAAGGCAGGATGTGGCTGTCACATCCTATCTGGGGAGAATCCCTCATCCCTGTGGTCCCCAAAGCAGCTTTCTATGTATACCACTGCCTAAATGGGGATGGATTTGGGACACCCCCTGATCCAACCACTGGACTGGGGTCTGGGTGGGTCTGTGGGGTGGGATGGGATGCGATGTTATGGGATGGGATGGGATGGGACCCTCCATCGACAAGCAGTGTGCTGGAAAACCCCTGTAGATGCGGAGCATTGTTTCCCAATCCATCTAACCCTCCCTGAGGCGCCTTGGGCACAGAGGGAAACTGAGGCAGGGCAAGCAACACTCCTAGGCTCACCCCCAGCACCAGATCCAGGCTTTGAGCATTCCCAAGTCCCTTCTGATGCTCTGCAGTAGTGGGCAAACCTGTTCCCTGTGCTCCCACCATGGATTCCCCACTCCTACAAGACAAAACAATGACATTTCTCCATCTTTCCATTTGCCAACAAATCATGGAATCCATGCAGAAGGCACTTGGCTCTTTCTTTGGGCAGGCAGGGATGGATTAAGCCCCTCAGGGAAATTCCTGCCTTCAAAATGTGCTAAACCCCTAGGGAAATAATCGGGAAGGATTTCAGTGACTGAGAAATCCCTCAGGGTCATTATCCAGGGAGCCTGGGAGGGTTACATGGATGTGGAGAGCTGACAGCTCCAGGGCTCTGGGCAAGCCACGTGAATCCCTGGTGCTGGCTGAACCACCCAGCCCTTCTTTCCTGGCCCAGAACCAGCTCCTGCCTCCCGTGGCCCATTTTCCATGGCACCATGGCGCTTCCCCACCATCAGATGATGGAAGCAGCAGCAGCTTCTCCCCCCCTCCATCTCTAATTGCTGCTTAATGAACTCTGCTTATCGCAGCCTCCGAAATGGAGGCGGGAGAGGTGCAATCACAGAAAGGCTTCCAGAGGGTGCATTCCCCCCAAGGCCAAGGCTGTACTGGGAGCAGGGGGGCATTAATGACAGGGGCTTATTTTCCCTCTGCAGCGCTTAAAATGTAAATGAAATTCATTATTAGCAACTCCGTTGCTAATTACCATCTGAAGCTATTCATTAGCCTGTCAGCTTATTTGTTGGAGGACAACAGTGTGGATGGGTTACTCCAACCCAAGGAATAGCTGAAATGAGCTCAGTAGGGTGGGAAAGGAAAAGCAGAGATGGGGGGACAAAGGCACAGACAGCTCCAGCCGTGGGGAATCAGGGAAACAAAAGCTGGAAAAGAGGATGGGGAGTCCTTTAAAATGGAGAAGAAGCAAATGGGGAAGGCAGGAGTGATGAAAAAATAAGAGTAAAAGAATTACATGCTGAGTATTGTCTGTCTGCCCTCCTTGAGCAGCCACTCTGGTTACAGTGGGACCCACACCCAGAGAGTGTTTTCTGGTTCCCCTTTCCCATTACAGTTTCTCTCTGAGCATTCCAGTGCCATCCCAACCCCATGCCAGAGGATTTCCAAATCCCTGTGGGACCCTCTTGCCTGGTCCCAACCCCACAGGAGGTGTGAGCTTGGAAGAGCTGTTTGGGAGAGCAGCCAAGAGGAGAGCTGGTGGTGACAGGAATGGAGAGGGCTGCTGGATGCAGCACAGAGCCCAGACAGACCTGGAAAAGTGGGGAAAAAACCCCAGAAACATATTCCTAATGGAGATCAGAGCAGGTGGAGAGGAGCAGTAACCTGAGCCCCTGTCCTCCACCTGCCCTCTCCATATTTTCTTTCATGCAAGGTGGCCCTGGTTGGGAAGAGGACGGAAAGTGGGAGCATCCGATACAAGGAAAGTCTCGGTGCCATCGCCCATCTCTGCGTCACATCGGCGCAGCTCAGGTCTCAGCCTCTCATCACGTTGCACTCGGCAGCGGGCTGATGCCAGGGCACATTGCAACCCTGGCAAAAGGGGTGCACAGGCACCTCCAGGATGCCACAGCTGCAGGGATCCCCTGCCCCCATCCCAGTCAGGGTCCAGAGCTGCTGCTTCCCAGCAGCAGCCCCCTGAGGATACAGCCCAGGGCGCAGGGGCTGTGCCAAGATGCCAGAGGAACCCTAGGAGCACCCTAGGGTGGCACCAGCTCTCTGCTGAGTTCTTATCCCTGCCATAAGCAGAAAATTACAGAGCTCAAGATAATCCTCATTTTGAATAACCCAACGGTAAAAGAAAAGGGAAAAATCCCTTTCATAAGACAAATCCCTTTGCAGAGCTCCAGCATAATAAGAAGAGGGATGTTGTAAGGACCCTGAGGACATTAATAAACCTGAATGTTCCTCACCAACCCCATCTAGGACTCCAACCCCCTGTGCCCACGGCCCAGGAGCTCTTTTTAAGCTCAACCCAGGGGTCTCAGTCCTAGTCTCAGCTATGTCAGGACTGGTTTCTGGGTCAGCTGCAGCTGGTCTGGACTCCAACCTACCAACTGACACTAAACTGGACCTGTGGATTGATTTCCTTGTTTTTGAATCTGTTTGCTTGCTAAGACTTTGCTGCTTGATGCAGCCTTTTCTTTGGGCCTGCCTTTCCTGCCCAGCCTGCCCTGCTCAGGGAGTGTGGGATGGACAGGGAGGCTCTTCCACCTGTTACCCTTGGCTCTCCAGGCATCCCTGTGAAGCAGGGGAGAACATATCCATTTGATTCCTGAATATCCCTGACTGGAAAACCTGCAGGCAGGCAAAAATGTGGCAGTGCCAAGGGCAAGGATCAGCTCTGTATGTGACCATTCCCAAAGCCTCAGTGGGATGGGAGGGTGCTGAGGCAGCAGAGATGCAGGTGGGGAGGAAATTCAGGTGAGAGAAAGCTGGAGAGAAAGAAATAAGGGACAAGAATTCAGCCCCAAATATCCAGTGTGCTCAGTGTCCACAGGCAGAGCCAGAGCAGCTCTCCAAGGCGCTGAGCATCTCCAGTGCTTGGCGGGAGTGGGAATCCATGATCCCAACCCCACCCCTTCCTTCCTTCCCCGCTGCTGGGCAGGGCATGGAGATGTGCAGGGGTCCCTGTTCTCTCAGGGGGACAGCTCAGGGTCCAGAAAGGGGTCAGAGTGGACAGCTGGGCCCCCTGCTATGGGGTCATCTGTGGCATGCTGGTTTTCCTGCTTCCCTCTATTTTACCATCTGTGGAGCAGGCATTTTCCCTCTTTCTGCCAGGTTTCCTTCCTTGCATGCCCACAGCAATGCTGTTCCCCTGCTGAAGGGGTTTGGCCACCAGGGCTCACTGGTGTAAAGAGATTTTGCTGCTTCCTTGCCCAGCTGTTCTCATCTTCCCGTGGTGGGATGTTGTCCTTACTGCCCCTCCATGACCCTTGAGGGTGGATGCTGGGAAGGGAAGATGATTTAGCTGTCAAATAAAGAAATTTTCACAACACTTCACTGATATTCTCACAAGCACTAAGGCAGGAGGTCCAAGTGGTGTGCACAGAACTCTGTGACACTGAGAACAAGGGACACAGCCTATGGAGCACTCAGCTGGTTTGGGACTTACATCCCTTTTAGGAGCTTCTGAACCTTGCCCTGTCTGTGAATCAGTCCAGTCCCTTCCCCTGCCCTCCACATCCCAACCTTGGCATCACTGGCAAAAGCAATCAACATGTCTTCTGTCCTTCACACGAGCCATTAATTAATTACTGCTTCCAGAATGAAGCACATCAGGGCATGGGCATGGCGTACCCCAAACTTGCCCTGCTGGTTTCCCATTGCCTCCTGGATAGAGGGAGCCTGTGTACCCTGCCAGGGCTGACCCCAGGGCCCCTGCCCTTCTACCCACACAGTGCTTGCCATGCCCTGGGTAGGGATCATGCACTCCTGCCCCATAGAACCCCCATCCCTATAAAGCCCCTCAAGCCCACTCCCACCCCTATAGAGCCCCCACTCCTGTAAAGCCCCCCAAGCCCCATAGAGCACTCCTAGTGCCATGAAGCCCCCAGCCCTATAAAGCCCCCCAAGCCCCATAGAGCATTCCCAGCCCTATAAAGCCCCTCAAAGCCCATATAGCAGTCCCAGCTCCATAGAGCCCCCATCCCTATAGAGCCCCCCAAGCCCCATAGAGCACTCCCAGCCTCATGGAGCCCCCAGCC